CATCCCTCTCTCTCTCCTCGCCCCCATCCCTCTCTCTCTCCTCGCCCCCATCCCCTCTCTCTCCTCGCCCCCATCCCTCTCTCTCCTCCTCGCCCCCATCCCTCTCTCTCTCCTCGCCCCATCCCTCTCTCTCTCCTCGCCCCCATCCCTCTCTCTCCTCCTCGCCCCCATCCCTCTCTCTCTCCTCGCCCCCATCCCTCTCTCTCTCCTCGCCCCCATCCCTCTCTCTCTCCTCGCCCCCATCCCTCTCTCTCTCCTCGCCCCCATCCCTCTCTCTCTCCTCGCCCCCATCCCTCTCTCTCTCTCCTCGCCCCCATCCCTCTCTCTCTCTCCTCGCCCCCATCCCTCTCTCTCTCCTCGCCCCCATCCCTCTCTCTCTCCTCGCCCCCATCCCTCTCTCTCTCCTCGCCCCCATCCCTCTCTCTCTCCTCGCCCCATCCCTCTCTCTCTCCTCGCCCCCATCCCTCTCTCTCTCCTCGCCCCCATCCCTCTCTCTCTCTCCTCGCCCCCATCCCTTTCTCTCTCCTCGCCCCCATCCCTCTCTCTCTCCTCGCCCCATCCCTCTCTCTCTCCTCGCCCCCATCCCTCTCTCTCTCCTCGCCCCCATCCCTCTCTCTCTCCTCGCCCCCCTCCCTCTCTCTCTCCCTCGCCCCCCATCCCTCTCTCTCTCCTCGCCCCCATCCCTCTCTCTCTCCTCGCCCCCATCCCTCTCTCTCTCCTCGCCCCCCATCCCTCTCTTTCTCCTCGCCCCCCATCCCTCCCTCTCTCTCTCTCTCGCCCCCATCCCTCTCTCTCCTCGCCCCCATCCCTCTCTCTCCTCGCCCCCCATCCCTCTCTCTCCTCGCCCCCCATCCCTCTCTCTCCTCGCCCCCCATCCCTCTCTCCTCGCCCCCATCCCTCTCTCTCTCTCCTCGCCCCCCCGCCCCCTCTGTCTCCTCGCCCCCCATCCCTCTCTCTCCTCTCCACCCATCCCTCTCTCTCCTCGCCCCCATCCCTCTCTCTCCTCGCCCCCATCCCTCTCTCTCCTCGCCCCCATCCCTCTCTCCTCCTCGCCCCCATCCCTCTCTCTCCTCGCCCCCATCCCTCTCTCTCCTCACCCCCACCCCTCTCTCTCTCCTCGCCCCATCCCTCTCTCTCTCTCCTCGCCCCCATCCCTCTCTCTCTCCTCGCCCCCATCCCTCTCTCTCTCCTCGCCCCCATCCCTCTCTCTCTCCTCGCCCCCATCCCTCTCTCTCTCCTCGCCCCCCTCCCTCTCCCTCTCTCTCTCTCCTCGCCCCCATCCCTCTCTCTCTCCTCGCCCCCATCCCTCTCTCTCTCCTCGCCCCCATCCCTCTCTCTCTCCTCGCCCCCATCCCTCTCTCTCTCCTCGCCCCCATCCCTCTCTCTCTCCTCGCCCCCATCCCTCTCTCTCTCCTCGCCCCCATCCCTCTCTCTCTCCTCGCCCCCATCCCTCTCTCTCTCCTCGCCCCCATCCCTCTCTCTCTCCTCGCCCCCATCCCTCTCTCTCTCCTCGCCCCCATCCCTCTCTCTCTCTCCTCGCCCCCCATCCCTCTCTCTCCTCGCCCCCCCATCCCCCTCTCTCCTCTCCCCCCCATCCCTCTCTCCTCTCCCCCCATCCCTCTCTCTCTCTCTCCTCGCCCTCCCATCCCTCTCTCTCTCTCTCCTCGCCCTCCCATCCCTCTCTCTCTCTCTCTCTCTCGCCCCCCCATCCCTCTCTCTCTCACTCCCTCGCCCCCCCATCCCTCTCTCTCTCTCTCCTCGCCCCCCCCCCATCCCTCTCTCTCTCTCTCTCCTCGCCCCCCCATCCCTCTCTCTCTCTCCTCGCCCCCCCCCATCCCTCTCTCTCTCTCCTCGCCCCCCCCATCCCTCTCTCTCTCCTCCTCGCCCCCCCCCATCCCTCTCTCTCTCTCCTCGCCCCCCCCCCATCCCTCTCTCTCTCTCCTCGCCCCCCCCATCCCTCTCTCTCTCTTCGCGCCCCCCATCCCTCTCTCTCTCTCCTCGCCGCCCCATCCCTCTCTCTCCTCGCCCCCCCATCCCTCTCTCTCTCTCTCCTCGCCCCCCATCCCTCTCTCTCTCTCCTCGCCCCCCCCATCCCTCTCTCTCTCTCCTCGCCCCCCCCCCCATCCCTCTCTCTCTCTCCTCGCCCCCCCCCATCCCTCTCTCTCTCTCCCTCGCCCCCCCCATCCCTCTCTCTCCTCGCCCCCCCATCCCTCTCTCTCTCTCCTCGCCCCCCCCCCATCCCTCTCTCTCTCTCCTCGCCCCCCCCCATCCCTCTCTCTCTCTCCTCGCGCCTCCCATCCCTCTCTCTCTCTCCTCGCGCCTCCCATCCCTCTCTCTCTCTCTCCTCGCCCCCCATCCCTCTCTCTCTCTCCTCGCCCCCCCCCATCCCTCTCTCTCTCTCCTCGCCCCCCCCCCATCCCTCTCTCTCTCTCCTCGCCCCCCCCCATCCCTCTCTCTCTCTCCTCGCCCCCCCCCCATCCCTCTCTCTCTCTCCTCGCTCCCCCCATCCCTCTCTCCTCACCGCCACTCCTTGCTCTTCTGAGGGGATTAAGGATTAAGACGGGAGGCCGAGAATTTATTAACAATTTGTTAAGATGAAGAGGCACAGCATGGGACAGCTAGCAGCATGGTAGTGATGATGTCTTAGTGTAGAGCCGGGTAGAGCAACACTTGACGCCACAGTGAGTGTGTGAGAGTGAACTCGTCTAGTTGTGCTTGCGGGGGTAGAGTTTCGGCTCTTTGGTCCCGCCTCTCAACCGTCAATCTACTGGTGTACAGGTTCCTGAGCTTCTCGAACTCCATCACGCTTAGAGCTCCAGGTTTTCTACACTTGAAACTGTGTATGGAGTCAGCCTCCACCACATCACTTCCAAGTGCATTCCATTTACTAACTACTCTGACACTGAAAGAGTTCTTTCTAATGTGTGTGTGGCTCATCTGGGTACTCAGCTTCCACCTGTGTCCCCTAGTGCGTGTACCACCCGTGTTAAATATTCTCTCCTTGTCTACCCTGTCAAATACCCTGAGGATTTTGTATGTGATCATGTCTCCCCGAGCTCTTCTGTCTTCCAGCGACTTGAGGTGCATTTCACGTATCCTTTCCTCGTAACTCATGCCTCTTAGTTCTGGGACTAGTCTAGTGGCATACCTCTGAACGTTATCCAGTTTCGTCTTGTGCTTGACAAAGTACGAGCGCCTTGCTGGGGCCGCATGCTCCAGGATTGGTCTTACATATGTGGTGATTCCTTACACAGGTTTCTGAAGGCTGTTCTGATGTTAGCCAGCCTCGCATAGGCCGCTAACGTTATTCTTTGATGTGGGCTTCAGGAGACAGGTTTGGCGTGATATCAACTCTCACATCTTTCTCTCTGTCCGTTTCGTGCAGGCCTTCGTCTCTCATTCGGTAACCAGTGTCTGGCCTCTTATTTCCTCTCCATAGTTTCATTACCTTACATTTACTTGGGTTGAACTTAAGTAGCCATTTGTTTGACCATTCCTTCAGTTTGTTTAGGTCATCTTGTAGCCTCATACTATCATCCTCTGTCTTAATCCTCCTCATAATTTTTGGATCAACAGCAAACATTGATAGGAACGAATCTATACCCTCTGGAAGATCATTTACATATATCAGGAACAGTATAGGTCCAAGGACTGATCTCTGAGGGACTCCACTGGTGACGCCTCGCCACTCTGAAACCTGACTCCTCACATTGACTGGCTGTCTTCTGTTGCGTAGATACTCCCTTATCCAGTGGAGTACCTTCTCGTTCACTCCTGCCTGCTTATCCAGCTTGTGCACTAGTCTCTTATGTGGTACTGTGTCAAAGGCTTTCTGGCAATCCAAAAATATGCAGTCTGCCCAGCCTTCCCTATCCTGCCTGATTTTTGTTGCCTGGTAATAAAATTCACTCAATCCTGTGAGGTATGATCTGCCATCACTGAACCATGTTGATGTTGTGTTACAAAGTTATTTCGCTTCAGATGTTGCACTAGCTTTTTTTTTTTTTTTTTGCACAATCTTCTCCATCAATTTGCATGGTATTCAGGATAGGGACACTGGCCTGTAGTTCAGTGCCTCCTGTCTACCAGGGGCCAGAATGCGTGTGCGTACATTTGTATATGAGTGAGTGAGTGCGTGCGTGCGTGCGTGCGTGCGTGCGTGCGTGCGTGAGAGTCCTAACCCATGGTGGTTATATTTATATAAGTCAAGAGTTTATGGGCTCCGTGGCGCAACAAGGTTGTTTATGCCAATAACAGCCTCGAATTATGAAGTTTCAGAGTTCGAAACAACTATAATAAATGTAAACAAAGCCGCCATGATTGTCGAGAGATGTACAGGTTTCGTCAGTGGTTGCACAAATGAACCCTGGCCATGACGATACATCTGAATTCCGTTCTCACGTTACAAGCAATACCGACGCTGTCGATAGCGTCGGTATTCCGGTGCTCTAGGGAAATTAAGAGTCAGGCTTTTGAGTAAGAAGCCTCGCTCTGGGCAGCCGGGTGGCGTAGGTTCCTATATGTAAATATGTAGGTTCCTATATATATACTTCATATGTGACGCTCGTCAGATGGTAAGAGGCAGTTGCGCAGTGACGTTACGTTGGCATGGGTGACGGACTCGTCGCTAAGACGGCAGTGAACGGTGCCTCCAGAAATAGTTGAAGGAGCCTATGTTTAACGTCTTTCTCTTTATCATATATGTCACAGCGAAAACTTGCGTCTTTAGAATTAGGATTTTGGTATTGTTAAATCCATTGTACCGAGGAATTTTGAATACGTTGATTTTCTTTGTTGAAGGATGATTGGGGTAAATTAGGGTATATCAGGGGAGGGATGATTGGGGGTATTGTGGTTGATAAGTTTAGCGTGAGGCAGAGCAGGTAGCCAAGAAGTCGCTTAACGAGCGCCGGGTGCCTGACGCCGCCTATCATCCACATTGAGCCATACGTATGTGGCTCTCATGCCAATAGTGCACGTGTGTGCGTGCGTCAGTGCCCATGTGCGCGTGCCGCCAGTACCCATGTGCGCGTGCCGCCAGTGCCCATGTGCGCGTGCCGTCAGTACCCATGTGCGCGTGCCGTCAGTACCCATGTGCGCGTGGCGTCAGTGCCCATGTGCGCGTGCCGTCAGTGCCCATGTGCGCGTACCGTCAGTACCCATGTGCGCGTGCCGTCAGTACCCATGTGCGCGTGCCGTCAGTGCCCATGTGCGCGTGCCGTCAGTGCCCATGTGCGCGTACCGTCAGTACCCATGTGCGCGTGCCGTCAGTACCCATGTGCGCGTACCGTCAGTACCCATGTGCGCGTGCCGTCAGTGCCCATGTGCGCGTACCGTCAGTGCCCATGTGCGCGTGCCGTCAGTGCCCATGTGCGCGTACCGTCAGTACCCATGTGCGCGTGCCGTCAGTACCCATGTGCGCGTGCCGTCAGTGCCCATGTGCGCGTACCGTCAGTACCCATGTGCGCGTCCCGTCAGTGCCCATGTGCGCGTGCCGTCAGTGCCCATGTGCGCGTGCCGTCAGTACCCATGTGCGCGTGCCGTCAGTACCCATGTGCGCGTACCGTCAGTACCCATGTGCGCGTGCCGTCAGTGCCCATGTGCGCGTACCGTCAGTACCCATGTGCGCGTACCGTCAGTACCCATGTGCGCGTGCCGTCAGTGCCCATGTGCGCGTGCCGTCAGTGCCCATGTGCGCGTACCGTCAGTACCCATGTGCGCGTGCCGTCAGTACCCATGTGCGCGTGCCGTCAGTGCCCATGTGCGCGTACCGTCAGTACCCATGTACCCATGTGCGCGTGCCGCCAGTACCCATGTGCGCGTGCCGCCAGTGCCCATGTGCGCGTGCCGCCAGTGCCCATGTGCGCGTGCCGCCAGTGCCCATGTGCGCGTGCCGTCAGTGCCCATGTGCGCGTGCCGTCAGTGCCCATGTGCGCGTGCCGTCAGTGCCCATGTGCGCGTGCCGTCAGTGCCCATGTGCGCGTGCCGTCAGTACCCATGTGTGCGTGCGTCAGCACCTGCGTATGTGCAGGTGACAGCCGGGAAAGTATGAATATACCTCACCTGAGTGTTGGGTGGCCGGGGTACCCCCCATGAAGGGCACCCCCGCCAGTACCACCCCCGCCGGTACCCCCGCCGGTACCCCCGCCAGTACCACCCCCGCCGGTACCCCCGCCGGTACCCCCGCCGGTACCCCCGCCAGTACCCCCGCCAGTACCCCCGCCACCCCCGCCGTACCCCCGCCGGTACACGCTGCTCTACCTACTTGCCTCCTCACCTTCCGTCACACGCTGCCACTCCACCCCGTCTCCTCTTCCCGTAGTTTCTGTACACTTCACCTGTCTGTCAGTCGTGTTATCCCCTTGTTACTGCCCCGGACCCCAAGAGTGCACTGTGGCACGGGATGCACTATAGTATTGCATGTGTTGCTTGTTCTTCTGCCTCTTACTTCACTTCACACCCTCCTCTCCCACTGTTTATGTAGGCCGAGTGGCACTGCTTGGGTATGGTAGGTGGCACTGCTTGGGTATGGCGGGTGGCACTGCTTGGGTATGGCGGGTGGCACTGGTTGGGTATGGCAGGTGGCACTGGTTATGGTAGGTGGCACTGGTTGGGTATGGCGGGTGGCACTGGTTGGTTATGGCGGGTGGCACTGGTTGGGTATGGCAGGTGGCACTGGTTGGTTATGGTAGGTGGCACTGGTTGGGTATGGCGGGTGGCACTGGTTGGGTATGGCAGGTGGCACTGGTTGGGTATGGCAGGTGGCACTGGTTGGGCATGGCAGGTGGCACTGGTTGGGTATGGCAGGTGGCACTGGTTGGGTATGGCAGGTGGCACTGCTTTGGTATGGCAGGTGGCACTGGTTGGGTATGGCAGGTGGCACTGGTTGGGTATGGCGGGTGGCACTGCTGGGTATGGCAGGTGGCACTGCTTTGGTATGGCAGGTGGCACTGCTGGGTATGGCAGGTGGCACTGGTTGGGTATGGCAGGTGGCACTGGTTGGGTATGGCGGGTGGCACTGCTGGGTATGGCAGGCGGCACTGCTTTGGTATGGCAGGTGGCACTGCTTGGGTATGGCAGGTGGCACTGCTGGGTATGGCGAGTGGCACTGCTGGGGTATGGCAGGTGGCACTGGTTGGTTATGGCAGGTGGCACTGGTTGGGTATGGCGGGTGGCACTGGTGGGTATAGCAGGTGGCACTGCTGGGTATGGCAGGTGGCACTGCTGGGTTATGGCAGGTGGCACTGGTTGGGTATGGCAGGTGGCACTGGTTGGGTATGGCAGGTGGCACTGGTTGGGTATGGCAGGTGGCACTGGTTGGGTATGGCAGGTGGCACTGGTTGGGTATGGCAGGTGGCACTGGTTGGGTATGGCAGGTGGCACTGGTTGGGTATGGCGGGTGGCACTGCTGGGTATAGCAGGTGGCACTGCTTTGGTATGGCAGGTGGCACTGGCAGGTGGCACTGGTTGGGTATGGCAGGTGGCACTGGTTGGGTATGGCGGGTGGCACTGCTGGGTATGGCAGGTGGTAGCTTTGGTATGGCAGGTGGCACTGCTGGGTATGGCAGGTGGCACTGCTGGGTATGGCAGGTGGCACTGCTGGGTATGGCAGGTGGCACTGCTGGGTATGGCAGGTGGCACTGCTGGGTATGACAGGTTAGGGTGGCATGGTGTAGGGTGCGTGTACTGACTGTTATTCTGCAAGTATTTCTGACCAGGGTCATGAGCACCAGCGCTTGCGTCAGGCTATGTTGGCTTGGGTTCCTCTATATCCCCCCCCCCTCCTCCTCCTCTCTCTCCTCACCCTCTCCCTTCACCTCTCACTCCTCTCCCACCCTCTCCCCTCACCTCTTCTCATCATCGTTTTAACTTATCCCCCTCTCCACCTTCCCCCTACCCTCTGCTACCCCCCTACCCCCCACCCTCGGCTGTCATCCTCCAATCCCTCCCTCTACTATCTACTCCTCCCTCTCCTCCCATATCTTCCTCCTTCTCTACCTCTCTCCTTCTCTCCTCTCTCAAGCGGTGCGAAATATTTAAAATATGTAGTTATTTTTTTGCGTTGAGAAAGAAGCGGGACTTGAGAAAGCCTTTGAAGCTGTTTTTTATTATAATTAATATTATTATTTTTTTCATTATTTTCTACCACAGACGTAGCCACACGTTTACAATGCTAACTAGCATATATACATTTTCTTCTGTCCTCCAAGGACAGGGTGAGAGATCTGTTAAACATATAATCAGTGATTTATTGAACAATCAACCACAGAAGGTGATTGTAATGCTTTTAAAATGCTAAGCTAGCCTAGAAACATAAATTCACAGATTTAGGTCTGTCCTACATAAACAATGTTCAGGTATCTTTTTACAGTGTCATTAATGTGTGTTTATAAAGGAGAAATGCAAGGCTGACCTGCTTCCACATACCCTGTATACAAATACACACAAATACATACATGCGAACAAGCTTCAATGGGTCCCAAGCCAATATGCAACTGAAAACTCCACACCCCAGAAGGATTCGAACCCAGACTGCCAGGAACACTATCCTGACAGCCAATTTCAGTTGCATATTGGCTTGGAACCCATTCAAGCTTGTTCACATCTGTGTTGCTCACGTGGCCCCACCAAGTGAGGTGATTCGATGAAATATCTATGCCCAAGTTGACCACCAAACGCTGTCGGATGTTGGGTAAATAGTCTCACGACTACAAAGATTTTTGTAGTCAGCGTGGTCTAGTGGTTAAGGTACCAGGTACGCCAAGGTGCATAGTGCTCCTGGCTGTCTGGGTTCGAATCCTTCTGGGGTGTGGAGTTTTCAGTTTTCTCATATACATATATATCTACACATATCCACATATATACATATACTTATGTCTCTCCTACTTTGACAGGGTAAGATAGCTTCTATAGAAACTAGTGTGATATTAAACACTTAAACACTGAAGGTGATTAAGATGCTTTTACAAGGTCAGGTTATAGATACAAGCATTATATAACTGATGTATTACATATTATATAGGTACAATACATTGTATAACATGTATTACATATTGTAGAGGTACAATACATTGTATAACAGATGTATTACATGGTCAATCTTGGATACAAGTCTAATATATCATCAAGTGTTCCAGTATTCATATAGTATATACAGAGTTCAGCATACCTCAGCCCAGGAGGGCGAAAGTCAGTTAATATGGTACATTCTACCATATAATGTTTAAGGGGAGTGCATGTTTTCTCTTTCACAAAGTTGACACATGGTCAACTGTGGGAGGATCGTATGTTTTATGTTATTACGGCCAAGGTATGGATAGCAGAATTTTTTTCCCGGTGATAAGTGAATAATGGTGTAAATTTTTATAAGAAAAATATTTTTATTACATTTAGCTATGTGTAACCGACAGGGCAGTGCCAAAAATAATGGTGAGGGTCAGAATATGACCCTTGGTACGCTGTTCCCTCTTGAATTCTGGCAACCTTGATCAACCTATGTCCGTCCCGTACCCCAGACCAACCCCCCTGCAAAGTTGAGTGAGGCTAGCGCCAAGCGTTTGACCTCCAATCTTGGACAAACACATTTTCTTATATACTGACTCGTGACCTATTGATTATGACAACCCACGGTAAGAAAGGCGAGGTCCAAGGACTAACAGCTCGATATTGCAGGCACATATAGCGAACGCGCACGCACGCACACGCACGCACACGCACGCGCGCGCGCGCGCACACACACACACACACACACACACACACACACACACACACACACACACACACACACACACACACACACACACAGTATGAAAATGACATCGCGAGTAAAGCCAAGACCCAACCAAAGCTGCTCCAGAGCCACATCAGGAGGAAAATAGCAGTGAAGGAACAAGTGATGAAACAGAAAAGGGGAGAACAGATACACAGAGAATGACAAGGAGGTGTGTGAAGAACTCGACAAGAGATTCCAGGAGGTCTTCACAATAGAACAAGAAGCCCCTGCACTAAATGTGGCGGCAAACCATGCAACCTTGGAGGAATTTGACCTCACCAGTGATGAGGTCAAAAGGTGTCTGTTGGAGCTGAATGTGACATAGGCTGTTGGGCCTGACAGAATCTCACCATGGATTCTAATAGAAGGTGCAGAAGCAATAAGTGTGCCACTCTCTCTGGTGTATAACAGGTCACTGGAAACGGGAGACCTTCCGGAAAGCTGGAAGACAGCTAACGTAGTCCCAATTTACAGAAAGGGTGACAGGCAAGAGGCACTGAACTACAGGCCAGTTTCCCTAACTTGTATACCATGCAAGGTGATCGAGAAGATCGTGAGGAAAAGGCTCGTAGAGCATCTGGAGGGAAATAACTTTGTAACACACCACCAACATGGTTATCTTGAGGTTATCTTGAGATGATTTCGGGGCTTTTTACCCGCGGCCCGGTCCTCGACCAGGCCTCCACCCCCAGGAAGCAGCCTGTGACAGCTGACTAACACCCAGGTACCTATTTTACTGCTAGGTAACAGGGGCATAGGGTGAAAGAAACTCTGCCCATTGTTTCTCGCCAGCGCCCGGGATGGAACCCGGGACCACAGGATCACAAGTCCAGTGTGCTGTCCGCTCGGCCGACCGGCTCCTGAACATGGGTTCAGAGACGGTAAATCGTGCCTCACAGGTTTAATAGAATTCTATGACCAGGTTAAAAAAAAAAATTAGGCAGGAAAGAGAAGGGTGGGCAGACTGCATTTTCCTGAACTGCCAGAAATCCTTTGACACAGTACCCCACCAAAGGCTGTTAAAAAAGTTGAGCAACAGGCAGGAGTATAAGGGAAGGTGCTCCAGTGGATAAGGGAGTACTTAAGCAACAGGAAACAGCGAGTAACAGTGAGGGGGGAGACATCAGAGTGGCGAAATGTCACCAGCGGAGTCCCACAGGGCTCAGTACTTGGACCCATCCTGTTTCTAATATATGTAAACGATCTTCCGGAGGGCATAGACTCGTTCCTCTCAATGTTTGCTGACAATGCACAAATTATGAG